AATATATATATATATATATATATATATATCTGTTTTTTTTTATTAAAACAAAACAAAAATGTAAAAGAACTAATTGCGTTTTATTTGTACAAAAATACGAGTTTGGTCCAAATTGAAATTTAGATAATAATGCATATAATTTAAATAATAATATATTTGTAAAAAATAAAAATATTTTTAATAGAAAGATATTCTAATCAGGGGAATAAGAACTATAATGCATTTTTCAATTCTCGTTTGATGCTTCTCAATTACTTTGAAAGTATAATAGATTGCATGCGATGATGCACGATGATAACATTTAACAACGCTTTTAGAATTTGATAATGTCACGAGCTTTTGCAGGTCAATAATCTTGTTAGTCACTCACCATCACATATAAACAGGCACATAGACTCAAATTAAGTTTTCACGTTTACCAAAACTCGCGAACATGATCTTCAACACATTTTATTTATACAATAAATATATATATAATACTAAAAATGATTTATTCATTTATAAATAATACTATTATCCAATTATCTAGAAAAACGAAACGATCAAATTCAATTAATATATTAAATTAAATACCAAAAATTGTACACATCCTGTAAAACGCATATGTAGATATATGTAATATAAATACATATACATTATCAATTATGTATAAGTATAAATAAAATTATTATCTGATTACGTAGAAAAATGAAGCGATAAAATTTTATGAGTACATTCTATGAAATATAATAAAACTTTTTCACGCCCTATTTTACACATATATGAATACATGTAATAGAGATATACATATACTAAAAATGATGTATTAGTATCAATAATATTATTATTTAATTACCTGAATAAACGAAACAATGAAATTCAACGAAATATTTATATTTTATGAAATAATCAGACTCCTCTTCTCAAAGTTTTATTTTGAAACATACTCGACTTAGCGTCCTTACTGAGGTCAACATTGAAATGTCGTCTATCAACTCGAAGCTATCGCAATTATTAGTCTCTATGGGAATTACCATTGATGTGTGCTAATGAAAATATAATCTAATATATGACCAGCATATCTGATATCTCGTAAATGCGTTGTTTTTATCTCCTTCCTAGAAAATAAATGATATTTACATTTCTCTCTCACTCATATATTTTATTTTTTGTATTAAATATTCAATTTTTGTATTTAAAATATTTGAAAATAAAAATCAATTTTTAGGAATCGAATGCATTTGTATTTACTACACTCGTTTTTTGTTAGTTATTATTCTAATACTAGTAATTCCATCATTATTGTTTGAATTACGACAATAGAGACACATTTAATCCGTTCAGTGCTACTGATAAATGGATTATATGAAGAGTATTATTACCTTAGATAACATACATAAGTATACATACAATGTTATTTCCTTGATAATTAATTCTATCAAAGATCTTCGCATAGTCTCTACTGAAAACTATAATGAACTTTCCAATTAATTTGACCACACTTCGTTGCTTATAAGAATCGAACTCGTAAAAAACATAATATTATTAGTATATAAAAAGCATTTTTAATTCAAAAATCAATATCTGTATTCTTCTTTATTGTAACGCATATCAAAATTTTGTAGGTGATTTTGAAAATTAATTACTTCTTTTCCAAATATTTTATACTATTTCTTTTTATATTATAAAAATACTTTTATACTCGCATTTATTGGAAACAAAATGAGCGTTTAAAATTTTAGATTATAATTATTAATTTTTTAAATCATTTAAAAACTTTTGGTCCATCAAAAAATTTCCGATGAATTCTAATTGTAAATTTGATATACATAATTGCGTATTCCTTTTATAAAGATATTTATCAGTATGAGAAATGATTTTTTCTCTCTCGATTTTTTTTTGATAACGAAAGAAAAGGTAAATAAACATGATCTTACGATTTTGAAGTTTTCATTGTTATATGACATACTAAACTTATATATGTAATATCTCCTTTCTTTCGAATTTTAGCAAAGAATAGAAAAAAGAAGATACGAAAAATTCCTAAGGGAAAAATCACTAATTAGATTTTATCCATAAAAAAATAAACGTTTTAATAAAATGCTCACTTTTGTATTCCCTCAGGATTTCTCTAATTAACTTGTTTTCTCTCATATATTGCTTTTTACAAAAAACGTTTCATCTATTGCATACCAAACCCGCATGTTCAAATAACTTCATATGCTTTCAATGCTTAGAATTCCATAAGAGAGAGAGAAAGAAAAGAAAAGGACAAAAATAACAGGAAAAAAAATATTCGAGGACCATAGAAAAGAATGTATAGGGTGTTTTTCTTTGAACACATACAACTAAAAATATCACAACACTACTACAATTAATTTGCATATGGTGTTGAATAATTAATAAACATAAATTAAATAATAATATTAATTATTATTATAATAATACGTAATATTTTTGTGCGAGTGTATCCAAACAAGTAAATAAACATACTCGATAGATATGGAAGATACGTTTGTTTACAATTTAGTTATCGACATTCGAACAAATCAATTAATTATATAATTTTGTTTTTTAAATTAATGTATACATCTAATTATTTATAAATCTAACAAATTAAATAATACATTTTACCGACAATAAAGTTTCTATCTTAATTATGAATTTGAATTAAATCTACGTAAATATAAATAAGTATGTACATATAAGGTTATGGTTGGCATGTACCGTGGAACAATGAAAAATATAGAAAAAAAGAAAGAAAGAAAGAGAGAGAGAGAGAGAGAGAGAGAGAGAGAGAGAGAGAGAGAGAGAGAGAGAGAGAGAAATAGTGTAGAGGGAGTAGTCGGTGCTGCATTGGATCTATCTTTGTCTTTATCTAACGCACACTTCATTCCGCATCATTCTATCCCTCTCACTCAGCCGATCTTTCGGAGTCGTGTATATTCGTGACAGATCGGTTAGTAATGAAACCGGCTTGCTTTGAATACTCGTAAGTTTGACAAAACAAGGTAAGTAAACACATGCATAAATTCATATATATATATATATGTATATATACGAATATGTAAATGACTTACGTTTTGGAAATTACGTGATGTAACTAAGGCCGAGGAGACGGTGAAAACGCGTGTCGAAACGTCGTACCATCTTGTAAGGGACATTACACGACAGGAGACTGCTGATGCCATTTCAATTTATTTATGTGTGCTGTATGTGTATATGCTGTTTGTGCGTATGTTTAAAACGATGATCTTTTCTTCCTTTTACTTGCTCATCCCAACCAACCTCTCTTCACCTATCCAATTTCCTGTTTCCTCGTTGACAAGAAAATAGAAAATAAAAGGACAACTGTTGATGGCTCTGAAGAAAAGGACAAACTATATTAAAGTAAGTACCTTTCCCTTTTTTTTGTTGGCGGGCGAACACTTTTCACACACATGAATAACCTCACGCGACTATATAACCACGAACGATCATCCATGTACGATGACGACGACGTACAGACTAATCGTCGTCGGTCACGGCCGGCATCCTTCGTGCCCTTCCGCGCCGACTCGCCCAGTGCCACTCTACTGTACTATAGCTCGACCAATCAACAGCCATATTTTACCGAACATTCACGAATCACTCGCGCTTTTACGAATTTTAAATACTTGTATTAGTTGCCATGTATTACAGACCGCGGGAATTTGGTTTGATTATTCTGGAAGGAATTTGAACCTTTTTGTCAAAGTTACATGAAATATATCTATAACATAATATTGGATGAATTACCGCGCATGTTTCTAGAAATGGATTTATATGTTATTCAAGAATCAAATATGTGTTATATATGTTTCCAACAGTTTAATTTTATCGTGAAAATGTTACTTGGAATAGTTAACCCTTTGACTGCTAAAGGCGCATATATATAAGCTTCACAAGTCTATCAATATATACGAAAGACGTAAATATACGTCCTAATGTATACATCAATATGTACGAAGGACGTAAATTTATGCTCGGTTTTTACTATAAAACCTTTTACTATTTTACTAGTTGACATGTGACGATCGCGCAGTCTGTATTAGTGGATTTTTTCGAGATCGCGGCGCAGTCAAAAGGTTAAAAGAAATTTTTTATTGCTATAAGATTAATGTTGTTAACTTTCTTTTTTCAAATTAAATATGATATATATAAATTATTACCATTTGCTAATATTGCAGAAAACTGTTTAGGTCACATATTGAATAGTGGTTATAGTACCGTAGGAACGCTAGCAAGGAACCTTAACAGCAGAAAAAATGAAAAAGTGCTCTTAATTGCACACTATTTGCTCAATCAAAATCTTTAATTGCTCACTTTATTAATTAATTATTTAATTAGTTATGAATAATTGAAAATGCAAAAATTTTTTTCCTATTTCTAAGCAAGGCAACGAAGTTTGCAACAGGAGAAAAAAATGAATAAGTGCTCTTATCAACTTTATTATATCAAATATTTTTTATTTATCGTTAATTAGTTGAAAATAATTATTACACTTTGAATAATTATGAAATGGCGACGTCATGAGTGGGAGATATGTTATACACATGCGCAACCACAAATTCAAGGCGCAAGCACACTTGGAAAAAAATGAAAGTAAAGTTGGTATACCTGCAGGGGATATATTTAAAGTTGATTTCCAAAGTAACAACCTATAAGGTAGTGAAAAGAAATAAGTTAATCGTTCATAATGTTTAAACAATAGGTAAATATTTTTATTTTTTCATTTTTTTCTGCTGTTGCGGCTCTATGCCAGCGTTCCTACGGTCGTTATAGTATTTACCAATGTATATTTTGTTTTTGTTTTTTTTTATTATTTGAAATAGTGCAATATCGATGGTATTAAAAATTATGCTAATATAAAAGGATAGTGCCATGTATCCGAATAATCCTAACCTTTTCAACGAAACCTTTTCCAATCCTTTACTAAAAGTCAATGAATTTTATCGTTATGTTTATTTTTCGAATTTTACCACTCGAATAATTTTAACGATCTTGTCACGAATAGGATATGTTTTATTACAAATTAGTTCTGTGTCAAAGCAGGACAATTTGAATTTAATATTGTTTAAAAATATCAAAGATATCTGCTGTACCACAGTTGCTTATTTTACGATTGGTTTTCTTGTGATATTTAATGATGACGTGTACGGCTTTATCTACGGTGATTATTATAGTTTCGAAAATTTGTTGATAAAGAAGGAAGAATTCTTAATTGGTTGGCAAGTTGTCATAATGACATCAGCTATTTATATGTTTAGTATGACCGAAAATATATGCTTTATTGGTCATTTTCTGGTAAATTTACTCTTGGCTGGTTTAGTTCAACCTTTTTTTATTCGTTGGTCTTTAATGCCAGAAGGATGGATCGTGAGAGGTAAACTGTACGACATCAGAGTTTATTTTCGTGATCATGCTGGATCAGGAATTGTTCACGTTGTTGGCGGTCTCTCTGGTTTGATCGTTTATTTAATATTATCGAGAAAAAATTATATTTTTAAAGCAAAGAATATTGATAGAATAAATTTACCTTCGTTCCTTTTGAGTACCACTTGTTTGGGTTTATTTTTGATCTTCGTTGGTCTTCTAGTAAAATATTTTTATTTTCTTTACATATATATTTTATGTATTTCTTCATAATTATACTAATTTATTCTTTCCAGAATTTGTCTTTATCAACCTTGGAGAATGATACATCAAATACTATAAACACTGTTATTAACAATTTAATAGCAGCATCTTGCTGTTCACTTTGTTTCATGATCCTTCATTTAACATTTAAACGATCTATCGATCATTGGACAACATTAAGATGCGTTCAAGGTTTAATTGTTGGCTTAATTATGATCTCAAGTGCTTCCAACAAATATTCTCATTTGATGTCTATCGGATTAGGTTATTTAGGAGGAGTTATTTTTTATTTGATATCCAGATTGATATTTTATAGAGATTTAGGTCACTGCAATATCATAGCGATTCATCTAATTTATGGTTTCTTCGCAAACATTCTGGCACCATTCTGTGTATCAGAAGAAAATACTAGCACACAGTCTCGTTTATTAAATCTTTCCTGGCAATTAATTTCTTTAATTGTTTTGATGGGACTAGTGACTGTCACTCTAACACCTTTACTTCTAATTCTACAAATTTTCGGTTTACTTAAACACAGATCGCAAATTTTTAAAATAAACGAATCTACGATTAGTCTTGAAATGACAAAAAGGATTTCTGATAAAAATATTATATGCGATAAATACGAAGAATCGATTATAAATAATACACATTTATTATCCATTAAATTTACTGGAGAAAATTCTTATCAACCTCAAAACGAGTTGTCGCGATTAGAGGAAGATGAATTTATTAAAGAAAATTATTTAAACAAGATAGCGACCATGAAAAATGAAGAATTGTCTGATTCTTCGCAATCATCAGGTCTGCATCATCGAGTAAGTCGTCAGATTAAAGATGAAAATTTATAAAAGATTCATTCTAATCATTTATCCTAATCATCATAGGAAGAAAAGTGCACAAATTAAGACAAATATATACTCTTTCTGGGTACAATTTGATCTCGTCACAGGATCAATTTGCTAACGGTGATAGAATCGATATCGATCTTATGAATAGCAGAAAATATTTCTCTGAAACTAATTTACAACATTCTCCAAATATTTCTCATCATTCAAAAGAAATTCAGCGCAAACTGAATTTAAGTTGTTACGTTGATATTAAAGAAAACAATGATAATGAAATTACTATTAAAAATGAGTATCAATTACGAAGAACTCAAAAATTTATGAACTTGCGTGAAGAATTGGATAAACAAGAGTTCAATGAACTGGAACAAAGAAAAGAATTTTATACAGAATTAATTCTTACATGATATGTAATTTTCATAAAGTCTGTGGTGCTGAATCATGAGATAAAATAAATGCATGTTTCATTCGATTTTATGGCATATCGTAAATTTAAAAAGGAAACAAAAAATACTATATAATTATCTTCATAATTTTATATTCTTCAAGTGTGATCGATGTTGTATTTCTTATATATATACGCGAGACCGTTTTAAATAATTATTTTATTAGAACTTATGGCCTATTCCGTACAGTTATTACAATATTTTACAATAGAGTAATCATAAGTTAAATAATCAAGGTCGTTATTTAAGGTGCCGTACACACATTTTAAACGCATTTTTTGTGTAAATCTAGGGTAACGGCGATTCTTCTCATTCGTAACAGTCTATTAAAGCGAAACTTTTTTCGAAAATGCTTCCTCGTTTTGTCTTTCTCATTTTAAAACGCAAAAATCAATTCAGATTGAAAATAATTTGAACGAATAAAATAAAAAAATATATTATTTTATTATTACAATATTTGACATAAAAAAAAATAAAAATACATATGTGTTATCTTCTTTATCTACATAAAAACAATTGTAAATAATGAATTTTAAAAAAATTGATTGACTCTTCATAAAAAAAAGGAACAATATAAATATTAAATAATTTGGAATAAAATTACTTGGAAAACAGAAAAAAATAGAAATATAATAGTATCAAATATTAGTTCTTTTTTTTGTACAATTCGGAATATAAATATTATTATTATTTTTTCCATGGTATTATGTTTCTGTTTTTTGGTTTTGTCACATATTATTGTCAGGCGGCGATAAATCATAAAACTGTTACGGCCGCCGTGCCGACTGAAAATTTCAATAACATTAACTACAAAATCCAACGTGTATGTTTGTCTGTATGTGTGTGTTTGTTTTATGTCATCATTTTAATATGATAATACAATTATTATATACAACACGGTAAAATGGCACGATTCGACAAAATAGATCGATCATCATTTGTATAATAATAATCCATCGCTGTTACTAATTATTATTATACTTACTATTACTAATATTGTTATTCTTAATATTATAAATTATTAATATTAATATTAATTATTAGTATCATTATTATTGTTATTGTATTATTAACAAGAAATTTTGTACAAGGTTTATCGTTAAAACGTCCACAAATGGCACAATTTAACGGCAGTATAAAAATGGAAACAAATATACAAACGTAACAAGATAGTAGTAATCAGATAAAATGTTTAAAGATAATATGGCCAAAGGAATTTCGCTTTATTTAAAAAAATAAAATTATCCGTTAGACGACGTCATTGTACTTAAAAGATTTTTGCGAATGCGAACTTTCGTCCTTCTTATTTTTGTATTTCCTTTTTTTTTATCCTCAATTGCTCGTTTTGGACGGGAGCCTTATAACTCGTCTATAACTCTCTATCAACGATAATAATAATATATTTTTTTTAGTACATCAAATCTGTGTGTCAATATGTCAATATTTTCTTAATAATATTACGGTACTGATATTTTTTTAAATAATATTTTAAAAAAGATTTATGACAATGACGCATACAATAAAAATTTGTCAATCCAATGTAAACGTTAAAATCGTAAATTTTTGTTCGTCGATTGATTAACATTTAAAATTGAACTTTATATAATTGCAGGGAAGAGTTGATAATAAATTAAATAAACTTTTATATACAATGTACATCGTATGTGTGTGTGTATGTGTGTTGTGTGTGGGTGTATATATATATATAATAGTAGCACTATTCTCGATTGCAAAAATTCGTATATAAGTAATGTAGCCTTATTAACGATTCTATCAGAGAAAGTACAATAACATAGCAGGTGTTTGATCGTATATTTCCAAAACGAGCAATTCGTCATTATCATTGACTAATTGCTGTCATAGAATCGTTATCAATCAAATAAACGACATAGGAATAATAAATTGGACATATTGTTGTATGGGATGATACATTACAACACAGCTCACGTATTATGATTTCATATTTACCAGTCAAATTGTTGATTTTCAATATTAATTAAAACGAATGTCCAAACTTTGATAGGTGTCTTCTTTTTCTTGTTTTTTTTTTTTTCATTAAATAGACTAAAAAATGTTCAGAGGGTGTTTTAAAAGTGTTCCATCGATTATTGCAAGCGAATATGAATTTGATCGCGCGAATGCATTTTTTATCTTCGGAAATTTTAATCTTCAATCCAAATTTCATCCCAAGCATTTCCTATAATTGATCTAATTTTGTTCGTTAAAATCTAATATTTTACACCTACACGCGTTGACATCAAAATAGTGTATTACAATATAATATTACATTAATGTACAAACGGACGCGATCATACACCTCTTTTATTGATCATTACTCTCATCGTCGGTACCAAGAATAGTATTGTCAAAATATACAAAAATCATGATAGATTTTTTTTTGTTTTTGTTTTTGTTTTTGGTTTTCCCAAAATATGCTTATACAACGAGAATTAACATACACTGTGTCTCCGAAAGTAGATGGGCTAGAAAGGAACTAATCTGACAGCCCAAAATATGCGTTTCGTTCGCTTGGACGATATTTCGAGTGTAATAGTGATGAACGATCGATCGCTAGATGAGAGACTGGCTTTTTGTTTTTTTAATTATTTAAGTTTGATCAATGGGTAGATCGATCGATCGTTCGTTTGAGCGAGGATTAATCATTTTTTAAACACAGCAACATGTTGTTTTTGGACAGATAATACCTCGATAGAAATATTAAGTTGACGAACTCTTCGAAATACTCTGTTTGGCTCAGAAAGAACATATTCTTTTTAATATTTCTTCCAACTTCATGTAGATATTTTGTTTTTAATCATTCGATACACAGCTATGTTTCTTTTTTCCTAAATTATCGTAATCGTTCCTCAGCGATGTATTTTTTTATTTGAAAAAGAAAATCAAGCTCGATAGAAAAATATGAAGCAGTCGTTTGATATAAAAATGAACACAACATGAAAATATTACAATTTAGTTTAAATTTCTTTCTGATCCAAACAAAGTAAGAATTATCAAGACATTGTTTTGTTCATCCTGACAACGAAGATATAACGCAGATCGTGTTCTGCGAGTTCGAGTTAGAGAGGCCTCTTCTCAAAACCCTTCCTAACTTTAATGACGCAACAACGATAATAATAATTAT